ACGAAAATCGGATCCCACCATACAAGGGAAACCCATCAGCTTAATAGGAGCGGCTGGAATGGATCGTCTACTGAGGGAGGGAACCCCAGCGTACTTCCTTCATATATCGCCCACGAAGGAGGAGTCCCCTACTGAAGAAATACTCCGGGCGAGTGATAGCAACGACCCAGAAAGAGTGCAACAACCAAAGGATCCTGAGAGTGGGAACCCTGGCCCGGAACAAGGGGGGGTCGTCAAGGAGCGTGACGAGGAAGTATCGAAGCGACAGGAGACGGAGGAGTTAAAGAAATCCATTCCCGTCCAATACCAGGACTACCTGGACGTATTCTCACCCGGAGAAGCAAGAACACTACCTCCGCACCGACCCTACGATATCAAAATCGAAACGGAAGGTGATGCGATACCTCCCATAGGGAAGCTCTACAACATGTCTGAGAAGGAGCTGAAATCTCTTAAGGAGTACATCGACGAGATGTTGGAGAAAGGGTTCATACGATCCTCCAGGTCCCCCGCGGGAGCTCCTGTCTTGTTTGCCAAGAAAAAGGATGGTACTCTACGACTCTGCGTCGACTATCGAGCCCTGAACAAGATTACGAAGAAGAATAGGTACCCTCTACCACTGATAGGCACCTTAGTGGATCAACTACGGAAGGCGAAGATCTTCACGAAGATTGACCTCCGCGCAGGATACAACAACGTCAGGGTAGCCCAGGGACACGAGTGGAAGACTGCATTCCGAACTCGGTATGGGTCATTCGAGTACCTGGTAATGCCCTTTGGGCTCACGAATGCCCCCTCCGCATTTCAATTCTTCATGAACGAGATCTTTCACGATATCGTGGACGTCTGTGTGGTGATCTATCTGGACGACATACTGATTTACTCAGATGACGAGGAGTCCCATGTGGAGCACGTCAGGAAGGTCCTGGAACGATTACGGGCAAATCACCTCCACGCAAAGCCGGAAAAATGTGCGTTCCATGTCGACACCGTCGAGTACTTGGGGGTGATCATATCACCATTGGGAGTGTCCATGGATCCAGAGAAAGTGAAGGCAGTAATGGACTGGCCAAAACCAAGGACGGTGAAGGAACTCCAGGCGTTCCTCGGATTCGCAAACTTCTATAGGAGGTTCATAGACAACTACTCGGGAATCACCAAGGTGTTCACAAAGCTCCTCCGAAAAGATTCAGTGTGGAACTGGACCCCACAGTGTAGTAGTGCCTTCGAACTTCTGAAGTCAGCATTCTCCGAAGCCCCGGTTCTGGGACATTACAATCCGGACCTACCGGTAGTCCTCGAATGCGATGCCTCCGACTTGGCTATAGCAGGGATCCTATCACAGCTGGATCCTGAAATGGGGGAGATACATCCTATCGCCTTCCATGCACGATCAATGATCTCCGTGGAACTAAACTACGACATATACGATAAGGAGCTTCTAGCTATCGCGGACTGCTTCAAACAATGGAGGGTGTACTGCGAAGGATCCCGACACCAGATCCAAGTATACTCAGACCATAACAATCTCCAGTACTTCACCACTACGAAGCAGTTAACAGCACGACAAGCCCGGTGGGCAGAGCTCCTTTCAGGATACGATTTTGTCATCAACTATCGCCCAGGGAGGTTGGGAGCCAAGCCGGACGCACTCACCCGCAGATCAGACGTACGAAGGGAGGTCCTACAGTTGTACCACGACCATAAACTAAGGGGACATCCAGGGGAGAAACGCACCAAGAAGCTCGTAAACCAGCTGTTCTTCTGGAAAGGATTGTCTAAAGACGTGAACTACTACGTGCGGAGCTGCCACTCGTGTCTGAGAGCCAAAGCCACTCGCTCCAAACCTTACGGGAACCTCCGTCCGTTACCAATTGGTCAACGACCTTGGTCCTCAATCTCCCTAGATCACATCACCCAGCTCCCAGCCACAGCGGGTCCAGAGAAATACGACGCAATCCTCGTAGTAGTCTGCCGACTCACCAAACAGGCCATATATGTTCCTTGTCATACGACGGATAATGCGGAGGACTTTGCCAATCTATTCATAACACACGTCTTCTCAAAGCACGGGATGCCCTCCGATATAACCTCGGACCGAGGCTCCCTCTTTGTATCCCAATTCTGGAGGGAGCTCTGTAGAGCATTAGGAATCGAGTCCCGACTATCAACTGCATATCACCCACAGACAGATGGACAAACGGAACGAGTAAACCAATCCGTGGAAGCGTACCTTCGAATCTATTGCTCCTACGACCAAGACGACTGGGACATCCTCCTACCAATGGCCGAATTCGTATACAACAATACCCCAAACACGACAACAGGTGTCTCACCATTCTTCGCCAACAAGGGTTATCACCCAAAGTTGTCCATTACGCTGGAGCAGGTGCAGGGAGCGGAGGTCAATGAGTACGCGTCCAACCTCAAGGAGCTACATGCGTACCTCCAGGAACGAATCGGGGTAGCTAACAAGGTCTATGCGAAGTATGCGAACCAAAAACGCCAGGAGGCCCCGGACTGGAAGGAGGGTGATCAAGTCTGGCTAAATATGGAGAACGTCAGGACTAGACGACCTATGAAGAAGCTAGACCACAAGTGGACAGGTCCCTATACAATCTTGTCGAAAGTAGGAAGTCATGCCTACCGACTGGACCTCCCTGGGGACCTCCACAAGATTCACAATGTGTTCCATGTCGACAGGCTGAAACCTCACTTCCACGACAAATTCAAACGCCAGACCTCCCCGCCTCCCCCAATCTTCATAAAAGGGGAGACGGAGCATTTTGTCGAGGACATCCTTGACTCCAAACCCAAGAAGGGACAACCGGAGGAAGTGGAATACCTCGTAAAATGGGAGGGGTATAATGACGAGTTCAACTCTTGGGTAGGATGGGAAGGTATGGTGGGCTCAATCGAGCTCCTACGTAGCTGGCACAAACACCACCCGAGGAAACGCTAGCCATCGCGTCTGCAATGGGCTTTGTTGGAACAGGAAGCACGGGAAGATGAGGAGGAGGACCGGGAAGGTAGAAGGGAGTAGAGGGGGGAATGAGGACGATGAAGACACGACGGGGACGACAAACCCATGTTCACGACTATCTACGACAACTTGCATTGGAGGGCTTACGAGAACTGAATGCACAACGATTTCACTCTTATTGATTTTTCACACAGTATAAAAAATGTTCCCATTAATTAACGAAGAAGGTCAAAACAAACAAGAAGAAAGCAACAATTTTAAGGTAGAAAACAAATACAAAAATGGATGGTTCGACAAGAACACTACAGGAAGAGGGGGAGACGCTCGCTACAACGATTCCTCCTTAACGATACCCTGACCCGGCGCCAGGTCGACAACTTCCCCCGTCATAGAAACACGAGCCACACGAGACTCCTCCGTTTTGTACAACTCATCATCGTCGCCAGTAAGGTCGATGGCTAGGTTGACGACGGATCCAAAGAGAGGGGGCAGAGTGGGGGAAGGAGGAGGAGGAGACGGGGAGGTTGGTGACTCCTGCTCAGGCAAGAACAGAGGGACCTGGGGTTGGGAACCAATGGAAGAGGATGATACCGGAGCAGCTGGCACTTCAGGGGACTGCTCTACGACCACCTCCTGCGACGGTTCAGTAACCCGATCTACCGCAGACACGGGAGCTGGGGGATTCGGACCAGGCAAGGGAGTGTCGGTGATATGATGAATATATTCAAGCATCAACTGCTCCCAATCTGCAGTTAGCTGGTCGATACTAGGGAGGGTGTAGGACCTGGGTCAAAATGGGTCTTAGGGTAGGTTTTGGTATGTGGAGGTTTATGTTGTAGCGTGCTAGGAGCAGGCTGAAGCTCGAAGGGAGCTACGGGAACCGCGACCGAGGACGGGAATGACCTAGTAGTGGCTGGAACGACGGGATGGTGACCCTTGAGGGATTCCTAGGAGGTCCAGGGAGGTCCCTAAGGCGTAGGGAGGTTAGGGAAGAGTGCGGGACCATACTATATTGCACAGTAGGAGTTGTACTCGCTAGAACGTCAATATAGGATCAAGTAGGTCGTATGTATAGATGGGTCTCGAGGTGGTAAGCTCCCGAGAAGGGATGTGCCAGGGAGGGTAGGTCCCTGGGGGCTAGGCTTGAGGATGGACGTCCTCAAGTGTGGGAGATGGTAACGGAGAAGCAGTACGTAGTTCGACGTGAGGGGTAGCTTCGACGTTACCTAGATCGAGGTCCTGAAGCCTATAGAATAGCTAGGGAGCTCGAGGAGGTTTGGGGAGGTTAGCTCACCAAGGCGGTAGGCGTTGGGGAGCTTTAGTATTGTTCGAGGGAGCTCGGGAACTCACTCGGATTGCTTAGACGTGAAGTAAAAGTGTGTATTGGATCGTATAGACAATCACAGAGACGATAGACAAGAGTTGAGAGAAACAGAGGTAGTGAAACAGAGAGTAAAGAGAAATCCGTATGGTTAGCAGGTACAAAGGGACAGGGACTGGACCTATGCAAAAGGGTGTGTGTTCAAAATATACCAAGCTGGGGCTTCAGGACATTGCGGCGTTACTTAAATAGGTACGGGAAGTGAACAAGGGAACATCTGGAGGCATGAGGTAGCTAATCGGAGGGAGGGAGGTAATCGAGATTAATACTTAAAGGGGTTATCGGCTAGAGGGCTTTTGTACGCGTGTCGGGACGAAGGACGTTTGGGTAGTTGCGTCAGAAATACTTGGGGAGGTGTCTGGTGGTACTTGGGGAGGTGCGGAGGACATACAGGAGGTGGGTAGGATGTATGGCAACGTGTGGTGGTTACTGGGACTGGTCTGGTTGTAGCCAGGGCATGACATTACCCCCCCCTGTAACCCCTTCGCGCCCTCGCGATGGGTAGGCGCGTTTTTCTGGGCAGTCACCTGACATTCACGTGGTACCCGAAAATTTTCTTGTTGAAGTCCTTCAGATCCTTGCTTCTCCCTTTCTTCCACCGCCTCAGTTCTAACGAGTCAAACTCTTCTAACTGCGATGTCTCCCACCCCTACTCGACCTTTTTCACGCACACCATCTCCTTTGTTACCCCCTCTTACCGCTTTGGGAGAGGTACCTTCCCCGGCTCCTGAGTCCGATGGGGAGGTCGAGGCTGATCAGCTAGCTTTCACGATCGAGTCGCCGTCTCGTCCCCAGCTTCAGCTGTTCGAAACGGTCTTCAATACTGGCAAATCGCTGTCGGCCTACTGCCAGGATGACCCTTTATGGCCTATTTTAGCGGAGGTAGCATCTCCCTGTACCAATTGTCTGAAGACCCCAGGGAAATGTAAGGTGTTGCCGAGCTCCCCTTGGTGTACGAACTGCTCATCCAAGAAGACTTGCAGTCTGGGGAAGATCCTCCGGTACAGATATTTCGCCTGTCGCTGTAACCAAGATCTTGCCTACAGCTGAAGATTCTTAGAGCTCCACGGAACTCCTGCGCATAAATCGACTTGGGGTATTCCATTGACTGCCTGGCGCGAATACGACTCTGCCCTTCATGCGCGTACCTCCTCCACCTCCATCCTTCTCGAGCTGAATATGTTGGATGAGCAGGACGCGGTCGATGCTGATCAGCAAGAGTTGCAGCAATTTCTTACCTTGCAGCGGGACAAAGCAGCTGTTGCAGCTAAACGTAAGCGCAATCATTCCCCTATGCCTGTGGCTGGTCCCTCCAGCAAGAAGATTCGGTCGGATGCTCCCAAAAAGTGTTCTCGTCGTAAGTCCCCTGCAGTAGAGGTGAATGTAGAGCCTTTCCGTCGCGTTCGGTTGGTGGTTCCGCCTGTTCGCTCGGTGGCTCCTACCTCCCTTCCTGTTCCCCCTCCTGCCTCCTCTTCCTTAATGGGGGTACTCAACAGGGATCTGCCGATGCAGGGTCCCAGTGATTTGGTTCGATTGGCGGATGCGGCGGAAGTCCATCCTGGTTTGGTTCAGCAAGCCGGTTCTTCCTCCCCTGCTCGAACACCCATAAAAGGTACAGGGCAGGATCTTCTCTCCTCGACCATGCCTCCCATTCTCCGTCCTGCCCTGGTACCCCGCAATCCCGCTTCTCACCCTTATCGTGCTGAGAATCAGCGTCTTGCCGCTCGGGTTCGTTTGCTGGAGTCTCAGCTTGCTGATTCACAGCGGGAGAATTCCTCCCTGACGTCTGCTCTTCGGGATACCTCGCATGCTCTCGAATCTCGACAACGGGAGGTGGAGCAATTGAGGTCCTCCAGTCAGGAGTTCCTCCAGCGCCAGGAGGAGTATCGTCACATCATCGACCAGTTTAATACCCTGGATAGGGCTCTTTCGGGACCGTCTGACCAGGTAAGTTGTAGGAATACAGTCCTCACTCTATCGTTTGTCTAACCTTCCCATTACAGAGTCTTCTAGAGCGTTTCCAAAAAGTGGAGGAAGAACTTCGTATCACCAAGAAGGATCGGGATGACGCAACGGGGAAGCTTTCCACTTCCTCCCATAGGATTTCCGAGTTGACGACTGCTCTGCTGTATCAACACGGTATTACGGATGAGGGCAATGCCCTTTCGACTCGCCAACGTGCTCGTTTGGAGGAGCTTCAGGAGGAGGTCCATCGCACTCGTGGTCGTGCTGCTTTCGTCGAGCGTATGATTAAAGAGTATCCCGATAAGGGCTATTACGAGGTGGTCCTCCCTCCTCTCTCACAACTCGAAGGGGACCTCGTCAAGGTTCGGGCGGACCTTCGTCGTGTTGCTACTCTCGCCCACCGCCTCTATCGCTCTGATCCTGCCACCGTACTTCACCATCACAACCGTTACATTGGTGTGATCATTGAAGCGGTCGTTGCCTTCCTTTGTCGTGCTCTGGAAACCGAGGATCCCGACGTTATGGAGCACAACATCCGGCTGGCCTTGGATTATATGCAAACGGCGCGTGGTGTTCATGGGGACCTCCACATACGGTCCCTTAGCTGCATCCAGTGGTTCTTTAACAACGCTGTCGACCGAGACGAGGGTCTTTACACCCTGATGTTGGAGAACTCCCGTTTTGACAGTGATCGTCCCTTTTTGACTGCTGCTCAACACGCCGGATTCACTAGCCCCCCTTCCGACTCGTTGGAACCTCCCCTTCATCGCCGTATGTTATCTTTGTCAACGGCTCTCCCTCACCGAGGGGGTGCGGGACGGTGGGACGATCTGGTTCCTGCGATCCCCAGTGACGACCAATTGACGCTGGACTGGGAGCAATTAATGTTGCAGTACATGCACCACATCACCGACACCCCGCTGCCTGTTCCTGATCCTCCAGTCCCCATGTCATCAATGGGGCCAGTTCCCGAGTCGTCAGGCGAGGCAACCGTCGAGCAGTCCGTTGAAGCGCCGATTGTCCAGGTGTCCTCTCCCTCTGCTGGTTCCCATCCCCCAGTCCCTCTGTTCCTGTCGGAGCAGGAGTCGCCGACCTCCCCTTCTCCTCCTCCTCGTTCCCCAGTTCTGCCCCTCCTTTTTGGGTCCGTTGGACTGGTCGCTAATGCTAGATCTTGATCTATGAATGCTCGTAGTCGTCTGTTGTCCTTGTCTACCTACTCGATATCTACTGTACCTACGCTAACAAACAATGAACAACACCGATATAGATAAGATACTGGATTAGATAGTGAATCCTGAGAGACCCTACTCCATGTGCCCCCAACAAAAAATGGCGGCGCCCTCACCGCCTATGCGTTCTTCTCGTTCTCCTCCCTCCGGCGAATGATCTCCTGCTGCTCCAAGGCAAGTTTAGTCCCCAAGCGCGGCTTGAACTCCCGTAGTCTTCGTGCCGCGAACCGCTTTCCTTCGATGAATTGTCCTCCCGTGGTTTCCAGGGTATACGAATTTACGTCCCGCTCGACGATACGGTAAGGTCGGGACCACTTAGGTATTATCTTTTTGATGGTTTTGAAGGTGTAATCGAGGTCGCTGCGGTACACCTGGACCAGATCGCCCTTCCGGAATACGACCTCCTTTCCCTCCTTCTTCAACATTCTGTGATCGAAGGTTCCCTTCCGTTTCAGCGCGTGGCTTACAAATGCGTTGTACCCATCCAGTTGCTGCTGTGCGACGTAGGCAGCTTGCACCGCAATGTCCTGCTGTGGGAGTACGGAGGTAGCCTCCGCAATCGGAGTCCGGCGAGTGTTAACCACAGCACCCAGGAGAAGTTCATTTGGTGAGAACCTGACCGATGGAAGGATGCGACTGTTAATGATACGTACCGCTTCGTCCAAATACTCAGGCCACTTCTCGGGTAGTGTTTCCCAATTCATTGCCAAGAACTCCTCCGAATCCTCCCCTAACTTCGGCGCACACAGGCGTTTTAATACATGGAGCAAGATTTTGTTAGTACCCTCTACTAGACCGTTGACCCATGGGGAGTAGGCTGGGGTGAAGTGTTGTTTGGTTCCCCACTTCGCACAGAGGGCTTCTACCTCCTTGTTGGCGAAATGCGTACCATTGTCGGTCATGAACGTTTCCGGTGGTAGGTATCCGCCGAATAGCGAACTTAGACTAGATGCGGTTGTGGCGCCCGACCCTGCGACTTTGAACTTGAACGCCCATACTCGCTGCGAATAAGTGTCCAGGTATAGCCCAATGGTCTTGTACCCACCTTTACCTTTCGACATCGAGAGGTAATCGCCTACCAGGAGCTCGAACGGATGGCGTCGAGTTATGGGGTTCAGAAGAGCATGTAGGTGGGTGGAGCCAAAGTTTTTGCATTCCGAGCAACTCGTGATTGCCTCCATGATAGACTCGTCTAACTTCGGACTCCAGATCCTGTCCATTAGCGCAAGTTTCACCGAATCCCTTCCCCAATGACCCGCCTCGCTATGTTGTGCTCTGGCTAGCATAACTGCCTCTTGCCGCATTACACATTCCACCCGCGCACGTTCTCAAATACCCTCATTACCACACACCTTCCACAACCGGTTTCCGTCTACCATGTAACGCGCCGCTTTGTGTTTGGCCTTCTGCTTGACTTTGTCACTCGCGGGATTTTCCAGCACCCTTAGCGCCTCAACCACCTCCGTAAACACTGGTTCATTCAGGAAGCGTTTGGACAATGCTGCCCAGTCCGTCGTTCCCTCATCTTGCATCGCCTCTCCACCAACATCCACCCCAAAGACGTCGTTAACGAGGCCTGTAACCGCCTCCCAATCCTCACTCACTGTCCACTCACTTCCATCTCCCGCCACGCGATCTTGGCCTTCCCACATTCTGCTCAATCCATCCGCCACCACGTTCAATTTACCCGGAATATGCCTGACGTCCACGATGTGGTGCGCTAAAACACCGTCCCGCCATCTACAATGTGCTGCATTCAGCTTGTCATTGGCTATGACGTCTCGCAGCGCTTGACAATCCGTCTCAATCTCCACAGGGAAACCCCATATCATATCAGAGAATTTGTCGAGACCGAACTTCAATGCCATGAACTCTAGCAAGAATGGTTTGTAGTTCTGTTCTGAAGCCGACGTCCGCTTCGAGGCGAAGCCCACGGGATGTGTTTTGTACGTTGTGGAGCCGTTTGGGTGGACCACTTCGAACCGTTGGGCTACTACCGCCGTGAATCCCTCCTTACAGCCATCTGTCATTATGATGAAGCTCGAGCCGTCCCATCGGGGCGCCTTCAGGACCGGCTCTGTGACTAATGCCTTCTTCAATGCCAAGAACGCTTTTGTGTGGTCCAGTGTCCACCTGCCTTCCAGCTTGAAGGATTCCATGGCTCTTCGGTAGGTAGATTTCGTGTAATGTTGTGGAAGTGGTACTGACTTGATCAGGTTTCGTAGTGGGCCCTCAATCCTGGCGTAATTGCGAATCAGGTCCCGGAAGTGGCCTGTAAGCCCCACGAAGGATGCTAGATTTAAGGCGTCGGAGGGCTGCTTCCACTCCACGATGGCTGTGAGTTTCGCCGGGTCGACAGTGACTCCTTCCTTGCTGATCTTCCCCCCTGCAAAGATGCCCTCTGACACGAAGAACTCCGATTTTGCAGCGGACAGCGAGAGGTTCCTTTCGCGTACCCGGTCGAGGATTCTGGTGAGCTTTTGGAACATGGACTCGAAGTCGTCATCCGCTGACCCCCCATCATCCACAAACAGCTCGATGGTGCCGTCCGCAATGAGATCGTCCAGGTGGAGGGCCGTCATGTTGGCAAAAGTTGAGGGAGCACCTGTAAGACCAAAGGGTAGTTTCACACACCAGAAGTAACCTTTCCCCTCCACGTAGAACGCGGTGTAAGGGCGGGACTTCTGTTCCATTTCGCAAGCGTAGAACCCAGACGCGAAATCGAACAAACAAATGTAGTTGTGTCCACTGAGCGATTGTTGTTTGGATCGGATGTTGCCTTGTGGCATCGGTGCGATCTCCGTGAGTTTGTTGACCGCCATAAAGTTCTGGCATATTCTCCATTTGGCAGGTTTATTCAACTCAGGACGTTCCGTCGGGCTCGGAGGTTTTACCGGACGAGTGGGAAGATCAAAAGATGCGGGAAGCCCCGCAGCCACGCATTCGTCATTGAGTTTATGCATTAGCTCTTCTACTGTCAATCCCACTCCCTCGTGTACTTTCTGCGCCAGTGTCAGTGGCGATACGCACTTCACATCCTCCGGGTTGCATCGTTCGATTACTCCCGCCTCCAGCAACTCATCAATCTTCGCGTGGAGGTACTCTCTCTGCGGTGGTGTTAAAGACTTCTGCCTCACTTTCTTGGGAAACGTTGCACCCTCCGGTATGTGCAGCCTATGTATTGCATCTTTGACTGGCCTTACCTCGCCAACAGACAAGGCGAAGCAATCTGCGTACGCACTCAGGAGTTGTTCGACTCGCGTTCGCTGGTCCTTGGAGAGGCCTGACCCAATTGTAACTTTACGGAGAATTTCTCTCACGCGCCCTGGTTGGAACGCCCCCTGCTCACCCTCGTTGCGCGTGAAAAGGTTGGCATTGTCGCTCTGGTCTAGTGCATCGGGAAAGAAGTCCGGTCCCAGGGGATCCAGGTCTGTGAAAGACTCGTGCAGGAGTACTTGAACTGGAGCTACTGCGTCGTGGTTAGTACGTTGCGCGGTATCCCCATGACGATCAATAGAGACTCCCCTCGAGGGGGGCACTTCACATCCCCCCACTGAGTCCACCCGCGTGCCCTCTGGTGCAGTGTCGATGCTTCGCTCCACCGAAGCTTCCTCAATTCCCTCCGCCGTTGCCCCTGCAGGTATGTGCTTCTCAGTTCGGTTCTTTGGCTCTGTATTGACGGGGTCAATATTATGTTCATTGCTAGATGCATGCTCTGCAGGTACTTCCCTCGAGGGGGACGCGCTACTTCCCCCCGATTTGTCCACGCTTAGCCGTTTTGGTGGGAGCGGTTCCTTCAGCCGGTTCCTCCAAAAGAACCATTTACGGAGACCCGGCTCTGCACGCTGTTTCCTCAGCCATTCCTTCCATTCAGCCTCTCTTTGCGCCTCCTCTTTCTCTGAGGCTGCTCGCCGTTCCTTCTGTCGCATCTCCAGCTCGTTTTGCAGTTTGATAGCCTCCGCTCTCCTCAACCGCCGCTCCTCTCTGAACCACTCGTCCAACTCTCGCTCTGTGACCAGCCATTCTTCTCCTTCTCCGCCGAAGTTCCTCTCTCGGGTACCCGGATACAGTCTCTGGTGCATGTTCTTCCTCCCAGACTCCTCGTCTTGTACCTCCTCGACTTGCGGTCGTTGGCGACTCCGACGAGGTGTATCCTGAGGTATGTTCTGGGAAGTTTCATTAGTAAGGTGTTCCTGCTGACTGTGATCCAGTTCGTCAACTTCCCTGTTCAGCGGGGTTAAGGCCTGTACGATAACCCCGCCGGATGGTCCCTCGCGATCCTCGAGAACATTCTGCGCCTGGGCAGATGAACTCGGCACTTCCTGCTGGCTTCTCTCCTCCAGCACGGTTGTGGGGTCCGGGGCTAATGCCGTTCCCAATCCCTTGTTGAATACCTCCTTCCACTTCCCTTGCCGCTCTTTGAATACGATAGCATCTTTGTGGTAGTCGTGCACTGCCGAAAACCGCTCGAGGAGGGGTTTCCCGAACAGGAATTTCCAACTTCCGCCACTGTGAAATACTTCGAACCCCCCATCCGTTTCTACACCCTTCACGCTGATACATCCCTTCCAGCGCGCTATTCCTGGTACGACACTTCCATTCGCCATGCGGAACTTCCTCTCCGTTGGTTCCCACCCTCCCAAGGTGTTTCGTAGTTTCTCATACACCGCTATGTCCATCGCCGCTACCATCGCGCCATCGTCGACCATTGCCTCCACCTCCGCTTGCTTCCCATCCAAATCTCTGAGACCAATGTCTATCGAGAACGGAGAACTAATGTGGCTGTCGTTGCCATGAACACTGTAAATGTCAAGAATATTGGATTCTTCCAAAACAGATTGTACATTGTTCACAACCGACGTAGTACCTAGGGTCAAGTGTTCGCCACTCAGAACGCTGACCCTTCCCCATTTCCCGACTCGATCATGCCTTCAAAAATTGCTTCC